TTACTAAACTGTTAATATGGGAGGCAAAGGGGTCCAACATCCCAGAATATGGGCTGGGGGAGCAGTGGCTTGTGTGGGGGTGTTGGGGCCAACAGACGCCAGCACAGATAAGCCTACAAACAGGGGATGCGGTGATGCTGAAATTAAGTGAAGGAATTCCCAGAGAAGGAGGTGGAGTTAAGCTACCAAATCTTTTCACTCCATTATTTTTGCCCAAGATTCTCCTTAGCTTATTCCCTGAGAGCTGCTAATTCAATCTGAACCCTAGAAAACAGCTGCCATTCTCTGGGGATACAATGCTGGCCTTCATTTGAGAGTAATTGGTTGTCTGATAATTTCATGTCTTTGGGTCTCTGCTGTGTTGTCTGGAAATCATCCTGTGGATCAAGAATTATGAAATAGGAAAGACAAACAACGAGGCAGCTTCAGTGAGACCCATAACAATGCTCCAACCGGATGGTGGCATTTAAGATAGATGGCAAAAGCCAATTCTGAGGCACTTCTGTAAGAATTTTGTGTTTCCCATTAGGGACATAATGCAGCCTCCATCTAATTTGCAAGTTTAAAATTGCAAATCCAACCCTTGGGAGAAGACTGGGTGAATCGCAAGTGACTATTGCTGAAGTTTCACATGAGTAAATATATTGGCTGTGTTGGTATTATTCAACACTCAGAACCACCAAATACATTTTTGTATCGTTTTATTTGTAGAACAATGACACAATAATTTTCAGAATAAGTAACTCCTCAGTTTAGTGACAATTATGTTCCATTATAATAATTAAAATCACACCCTGCTATTTGGATGAACTCAATAGAATAATGATTTCTTGGGGGAAGATTTAATTGGATCATTATTTTTTTCTCCGGCATTAAAAATATCTGTAAATTATTTCCATTCATTGCACCGCTGCTTAATTTTGATTTTTTTTTTTTGCTGTCCTGTGGAAAGAAATATCACTCACAAGATGGAAGCCTCAACCCACCCTTGAACCATCTGTGCACCCTAATTGTTCTTGGAGGTGTGCCGGGGCTTGGCAGATTCAGAGCTCGTGACTGGGCATGATAGCAGGGCTACAGATGGTGGGAGCACCTGAAATCAGGTGGGTGGAAGCAGGCGGTGGGCGAAATAGTGGTGTTTCAGCAGACTGGTCTGTGGAAAGGAGAGCTCTAGAAAGCGGGTGAGAGATCATAAGGAAGTGTCAACAGCTCTCTTGGGGGTGAAGTTGGCAAGAGCTCGGAAGGGTATTAGGGCCTCAGGCTGAAGGGCTGGAGTTCAGGAAAGCACTCCTGCTTTAAGGGTGAACTGACGTATAAAGCAGAAAACCCAGGTGGGGGATGTGCTGGGTCACCACGGCAGGGGCTGGGGGGCAGCCAAGGCCATTTCGACACTGTGATGTTCTAGTTCACTCTGAAGCTTACCTGACACTGGAATCATAGCAGTGAGATGATCAGCCCTGCTTAGACACTTAGCGGTCTGCTGTAGGTGCTGCGAATGCTGCGTGAGTTTGTCTCAGCTTGAGGTACCTCTTACGCTGGATGCAGAGGACAGGGAATGACCATTGGATTAAATGAGTGAGGTGTCGGGGGTCTTAACAGGAAAAGCCTAAACCTGGGGTGTCAAGGCAAGGGAGGGAAAAGCAACCAAGCCAGAAGTGCTCACATCCCTGACAGAACGACAGGTTGATCTGCGGCCCCCTCTGTGTGCCTTTGTGAATGTGAGTGACACGGGAATAAGGGGCAGTTTGTAGCCAGATGGTCCGAGCCCTGAAAGGTTTACAGACGCAGGAACCAAGAACCGAGTAATGTCTGCCCCATAGTCGTTGCTTAGCACATGTTTGTTGGAATGGAAACGAATGAACCAATGAATGAAAAATAAAACAACAGCAAATGAATTCTGTCACCTGCAGAGTTCCCAGGCTCTCTGAACCTGGGAGCAGGGTCAGAGATCACAATTTGTTGCCTAATTCTTTATTATTTTCTGATCTTTTTCCTTATCATTTTCGTTTTGTTACAGTAAGCGTATAACTCGCGAAACTCAAACTTTGTCGCAGCAGCAGGAGCAGGGGGACACACGAATTCTGGGAGAGAAGAGCTTCACCAGAGACAACAATGCAAGAACAGACGGGAGACGTCGTCTGAGGAGAACCAGAGCTGACCTGGGCCGGGGGCGAGATGGAAGCCCGAGCACGGTTCCTAAGTACAGCGAGAAAGAAAGGCGCCTGGAGGGATGGGTGTGCGCGCTTCTCAGACAGACTCGGGTAGCTTGCATGTAATTCCTCTACTCTGCGCTGCTGGTGCAATGACCTCACGTCCAGCAAAGGGGCTCAATCGTTTCTCATCCTCGGAAAAAGGAGGCTCCTAGTCCCATTCTGTAGAGAAAGCTGTCAACCTGCAGGTGGCCCAGTCCTGGGATGAGATGATCAAGGGCGTGGTTTGGTTTTTATTTTAATAATGTAAATAGAGTCGGGATTGACAGCGTATTGAGAGCCACGTGGTTGCTGGGAGAAAACTCCACCCTGTTTAAAAAACGTTCAAACGATGGGGTCAGAATCTCCTACACTCAGTGGGCCCACGTCTCACTGACGTGGGGTACGGGTGGGATCCTCTAAGGACACAGTGGCAAGTCATCTGCTGGTTCCCTGGAATTAGCACCTCCTAGGTCTTGCATTTCTGTTCATCCATAAAACCACGCCGTGCGTGTCAGAAAACTTTTCTTTTTTTAGTTATTCTGTATGCTTTTGCTTGAAACTCCACTTTCAGTTCCCCCCACCACACCGGTCCACGACATTTACTTCCAACCCCGAAACTGTATCTGTATTAGGGTCCATCTCTTGATAGATCTGACTCTTGGCCTAACTCTGACTTCTGGGTCTTTGGCTTCCTGTAATGTCACTGATACCTTCTTCCCTAATCATTGTATTGATCCTGTGAAACTTATTCTAGAATTATATATTTTCCATTGCATAGCATCTTGCAAAGTGACATTACTCTTACCCATAAGCTTCTTGAGGCCATAAAACATGTTTTTTCATCGTTGCATTCACGGTCCCTGACACAGTGGTTGGTAGTCAGTACATCCTGGTTGAATGAATGAATGACAAGTTCATCCTTTGAGCTGGGAGAGTTTATAAAAGGTTGTCTTTATAACTTGAAAGCTGATATATGTACGTATGTGCATGACGGAGACATTGTGCTGTGCACCAGAAACTGACCCATTGTAAATGTACTTCAAAAAATTAAAAAAATATAAAGATAAAAAATAAAATGAAAGCTAGAATAGCTTTTAAAAGTTCTGCATCCACTTCGCATCATTGTCCTGGAGTTGTGGACATACTTCCTGCCCCGGAATGTCTCCCAGGGTAGTGGGAAAACCAGATGCATAACTAGTGCCTGCGAGAGGCCATGATAAAGACGTATACAGAGTGCTGCCGAAAGATGGAGTCACAACTGTGCAAGCTTCTAGGGACAAGGCAAGGAAATGCCACCTAAGGTGATCTTTAAATACTGAAGAGTAAGTAAGCAGATAAAGAGGAGTGGGCGGTGGTCTCTGTGGGACACTTGGACAGGGGCAGATGTAGAACCTTGTTAGCAGAGGCTTATTACAATGAAAGGCAAGAGACATAGGATGGTTGCCTGCAATTTAAATATTGCTGGAGCATAAAGTTCCAGGCAGAGAAGGAGGAGGGTGGGGCTGGAGAGGTAGAAGAGACCAGGTCTCAGGGGGCTTTATACTTTGACAAGGATCCTCAGTGTTGTTCCGTGGGTAGCGGGGGATGACACAGACAATTTGCAACTCAGAAAACTCTGGGAGGTGTGTAAAGGATTAATCTGAGGTGGGCACATCACAAGGCAGGGAAGTCAGTTAGAAAAACAGCAGCATTCTACAGGAGAGAAATGTGAGGACCCGATCAAGGCAAAAACAGACGTGGAAATGAAGTGTCCAGACTTTGTGGCTGAATGGCAAGGGGTCTGCACGTTATACTGGAGTCAAGAATAACTCCCAGGTTGCTAATTACACTGGGCAGTTGGATGGTGGTGAAGTCGTTTCCCTCTAGATCTCTGAGGCACTTTTTATTTCCTTCCATTTTCATGCCCTTGATTGCTGATCTGCTAAAAGACATCTACTGGAAGTTTTAACACAACTTGGAATATATACACGTCTCTTACTGTGTGAAATTATATATTCTAGCTGATGGTTGGAAACTACGAAGCCGTAATTTTCACTGAGCCAGTCAGCTCCATTTTTGACAGAGACTTAAACTTCACAAGAAACAAAGAATGTTCTTTATCCCGTCCTTGTTTCCAGCGGGACCCTGAGCGAGATCAAGTCGGTGTATCAGTAGTTCTCAGGTTCCAGAAACTTCCTTTGAATAACTTCTTTGTGAATAAT